AGATACTATACATTAATTAGTAATGTTTATTTTTCATCTATGAACGGTATGAATCAGTTGATATAATAATCATCACTATTATTACCTCCGCCAGGAAATTATGTTTTTATTTGTTGATAGACTATGGTTTGTATTGTCTGTCTCTGTTTCTTCTGTCTGGTCTGTCTGTCTGTCTGTCTGTCTGTCTGTCTGTCTGTCTGTCTGTCTGTGTCTTATCTTCGTTCTTATCCTCATTCTTATTGTAATCTTTAGTAATATCGTTAACCATATCGTTGTTCTTATTCTCTTTGTTATTTTTATCTTTTCATCCAGGGTGCGATAATTCGTACCTGACTGGTACTCTAATTATGGTTTTTGCCGCGTACTTGAACTGACTTAAGACTCAAGGTGTTCTTAGTCATTAAAATGAAATACATAAAATACTCTGAAAGGTATTCAATCAAAACTACGAGTCAGAACAAGGAGAACAATTGTATAGTTACACAAACCTACAGTTGACTCTAGCATTCCTTCGTCCCATGACGGCCATGAGTGCAATCATGTTTCATGTCAAGATATGTCAGAGTTGCACATACAAACTTAAATTGCGGTTTTGAATACTTTGGGTTTGGAAAGGTCATGTGGTACCAGCAAAATGTAAGTACGCAGATAGCAAGAGTTCCGTGTACCTACGTGGTACTTGCATGGTTGAAAACAAAGGAGTACCAGACCGTAATATGACGTACTTCCGGTACGTAAGTACGCGAATTATTGCACTCTGTCATCCTTATCCCTGTCCTCATCTTTATTGTTATTGTTGTTATAATATAATTATTAGTACCATAACTTTGCTGTGTTGTGGCAACTATCAAAATCTTCATTTTTGTTTTTTCCTTCCATAACTAAAAGCCAACAAAGTTCGAAGACTGGAAAAGCGTGTTAAATCTGTCGGTATGATTGCTTTGAAAAACAAAGATGACGATGAACCAACCTACACAGGTACAGGTTGTGGCTTGTTTCCAAGGAAGAAAGTGAATCTTATATAATGACTAACTATCATGTGATTTCCGCGATCAAGCAACACAGACGTCAAACTCAACGCGAAATCAAAGTCCATATCTTAATTTGCGCAGCCTTATATCTCCTATGTTTAATTATTTCATTTGTTTTTCAAGTGCCTGATGCAGCTATGGTAGAAGGCAGCTCGTAGTTTTAACAGTTTGTCAGCCATGCTTACACTAAAGTAACAAACGCAACTGATCTCAAATGTACTTCGCAACTGGAATTTTATCGGAATTTTGTTATAAGCATGAACCATCAAGTAAAAAAATAAACACGTTATTTACCGTTTAGGTCGGTAAATAAAAAATGAAAGAGGAACATGGCTGGGAAACAATGTTTTATGGTTTGCCCACCTTCGGGAAACATGACTTGGAAACAATGTTTCATGGTTTACCAACATTTTGAAATAAAAAAATTTCTGAAGAAAATTCTATCTTGTCTTTTATTATAGACAACATTCGTTCACAAAAATCAGCACAGAAAAGGAGGAAGAAGCCAATAAGATTATCAAGCACAAATCCCCGACGATTGTTATCGAAAAGAAACTTTGGTGAAAATAATGAGTCCCCACGGCCAGTCAAAATGTGTGGATCTTGTACTTCAAAAGACGAAACACAGCTTTCAAGTGACCGGGACAAATGGCCCATTGGTAAAATCGAAAATGGTTGTTTTCACCAAATTTGCAGTCTACTCGACTTAGCTGTTCGTAGCAAGGAACCACTTATGAGCGCTTTAGATGGCTTCGACCAAACAACGGCTGCAGGTATTAAAACAAAATATGAAGCAAAGGGAGGATTGGGGACTGCCGAAGAAGTACTCGGTAAGTGGGGATCAAGAAATCAAGAAAATAATGTGGGGGCTCTTAAGAAGATTCTTAAAGATACCATGCAAAGGGATGACGTTGTTATCGAGATTGAAAAATGGGAGAATTTGAGAGTTTGTCATGGATGCGGTATTAAATTGAACAAACCACACTGATCTCAACACTACTGAATGTATCATATTTCTATAAATATTAAGTGTACAAATTTAATAACATTTTGGCTATTGCAGATATAACGGCCAAATAATAGCTCATGTGCTTGTACAGACAGATAAATAACATGGTAATTGGTAATTGGTATTTTAGTTAGTTAATTTTGTAATTTTTTATGTGTGAGCTATTCCGTTTGCTAAATGGTATTAATCCATTTAATTTGAAAAAAAAAATTAGTTTTGCCTAAAATAACTTCATGACTTCTATATAATTAACAACAATTGCACCTAATTATAAAATTAACTAACTAACTACAACCACTAATATGTCAATATTCTTAGGGGCGGACCATTAGAAAAGTGAGGGGGGGGTTTTATAATCCCTTGCTTGAATTTTTTTTTCTTAAAAAATTTTTTCGGACTAAATCATTCAATTAGGTTTAAAACACATTTCCCCGAAAAAACACAATATTCTTAAATTAATATTCTTATATTAATAATCTTCCTTTTAGAGACAGTTAGTGTATAGTATTTTAATATTTTCTTAACTTGTAAATATAAGCGTAATTCAGTCTATTGGCTGCAATGTTTTTATGTAAACAAATAAACCATCTATCTTTCTATCTACAGGTTGTATCAGAATAAAGTAGACAATCTTGAAACGGCTCTCAATTTCACAAACCTATTTGTGTCATCAAATTTTTGATAAATATAGATTGTTTGGGTACTTATAATGTAGAATAAACAAAACAATTGTAAAGATAAATTTTCCAGAGCAGGGGGTGTCTTTTTTAGCAGCATTAAAAATAGCTTGCGCGCAAAATTTAAAAGGTTGAAATGCATTTTTGAGTTCATGGGCGAAAAATTTGTTATGTGTTTTATTAATGGTCCATAATGTTTTTACAATCACAAAATGCAAATTAGGTAAATGCATGAATTATGCATGCGTGAAAGGCATTGGTGCCAAAAAATGAAAGTTTCAGCAGCTATTTGAAGGACTTAAAATTCAGCAAATTTTCTGATATTTGGACCATTAATAAAACACACAACAATGTTCTCGCCCATGAACTCAAAATGTGTTTTAACCTTTTGAATTTCGCGCGCAAAAACTATTAAACTTGAATTTCGTGCGGTAAAACTAAACTATTGCCATTTCAGAAATTCTACACATTTGGTGAATTTCGATTCCTAAAGGCTCCTTTTAGATTCGCAAATTTTTGCTGGGATTTTAAGTGGGATTTTCTTCTTGTGATGTATGTGAACGAGTGGATATGAATGTTGAGATGAGGGTACATATACTCACAACATTCATAACTCATCTACTCATTCACATCCATCAGAAAACCACAGAATCTAATCTTGAAGTGTCTGTGTCAGTGTAGGTAGTGGCAATAATATGAACAAGCTTTCACTGCTAGGGATGCAACTACCTGAAAAGCCCTGGTTACTACCAAACTCACGCGTAGTGCCTTCGCTCGAAACGTCGAAATTCTCCTTATATTTTTCACGTAGTTTCATCCCTATCATGAACGAAAGCTTGTTTACAGAATGTAATCGCTCTTTAATAACCAATGAGGTCAATTCCACGTTTTTAATTCATTCAGATACAATTTAATTCCCAGATGGTAGTTTTTATAATACTTCTAAACGCTTTTCTGTTATACTGGTAACATTCCCTGATATGACCACGAATTCTACGCAATGAATCAATTATTGAGCCTTCGCTCAAAACGTCGAAGTTCTCCTTGTATTTTTCAGGTAGTTGTATTCCTATCAACCCAAGTTTTGTTATTATTGCCACTACCTACACTGGCAAAGACTGTTCAAAATAATATAGCACCTTGCACGTCCCTAACATACTTACTTTGTGAAATGATAAATGTTTGGAGCAATGGTATTGTTTTTTATGAATCTAGAACTATGAATTGAATTTTTGGTGGCTGTTTTTGCATTATTAATATGGCATTGCTTCTGTATAGTTTTCCTTGGTTGTGTGGAGCGTATGGGCTGGTTGGTCGAAACAAAAAGATCCCTCGTCCACATTTGTACCTCACAGTTAAAAGAGGAGTGAAGAGATCGTTTGTACGACGTGAACTTGAAGAGAAATTCAAGTGTGACGACGCTAAGGAACACTTTGAACTCCTTCGAGAACCTGAAAGAAAACCAAAAATTAAATATTTGGGTCTCCTTTCAAGTAAATTGAGATGTAAATCATCTTCTGTCTCACCAGCACCTGGTGGTGGTGTATTAGCTTGCAGTAACCCCAGTTATACCAATCAAAACCCTTTACGAGTATCTGAAGAAAACGAGAAAGTTGATGTACCTCAGGTCCAGGGAACTGGGACTTTAACCATGTTTTGCGCCCTCAATGGACAACATTATGCACTCACCTGCTTTCATGTTGGTTGTGCAACTGATGAAAACCGTTTAAACGCCGCATTCAATAAAGTAGAAGATGTTCAGAAGATGCGCAATTCACTTCCAGCTTATGAAAGTTATGCAAAGAAACAGCAATATTATTTTACACAAGGCAATAAGAGAACGACAATGAGCCCTCTTATTTGGAGACGATGGAACGGACTGCACGCGTCTTGGGTTTTGACAATATCATTTTGACAACGAATGTGACATTTTGTCTCTAAAGACTAAAAGTTTTGGTTTTGATAGTTATTTTAGTATAGCTATATTTGGCGGCACCTGGAGTAATTGTTAGAAAAATGTCTTTTCGGACGACTTTGAGGCGCGTTTGTTGGTTTGTGTGCAATAAAACTTTAAGTTATTAATTAGTTATTAAGAACTGTATGATTCTGTATGATTTCTTTTCTCGACTTCATTTGGAAAAGAACAAAAGGCTGCATTTTTATTTTTACTTCTGAGTGATTGAAATGAGTGAGTTGACACCATATCGAATGTCATGTTGAATGGTTGAATGTCATGTGACTCATGTCAGAACTAAGTCGTTTGGAAAACAAGATTTTATGCCGAAGTGAAAGCAGAATATCAAGGTGTCTAAAACAAAAGGTAACTTTTTCCATTGATCGCACAACAACGTTTGGATGTGTTCAAAGGATGATGATGTGTCCTTACAACGTTTGGATGTGTCCTTTGATGTCTTCCAATTGACAGTTTAATTGACTTCCGAAATGCTTACTTATTTCCTACTACACACTGCACAGTTCTCTAAAATCCAATGAAAAAGTATTAGATAGTATTGTAGCTGTTGGTATATTCGAATAAACGCAATTTCAATGATTGGGAAAATTTTAAACAAATATATAATTAACCCATTAAGCACCAGCGCTCTCCCCTTGACCAGTAAACTTGCCTGGCATTGGACAGAGTAAAATAATAAAGTAGGGTGCAGTATGACTCAATGCAACCTCATACCCAGGGACAAGGTTGCGACTCAATGATGCACACCTGCACAAGCTGCTCCATTTACTGTTCGGAGTACTCCAGATTTTTGGAAAACTAATAGAATGGAACAGAAGACAGTCACATGACTGTTCTGAACTGTTTGACTACCCCGATTTTCGAGTAGGGGCAGCCAGAACAGACAAGTGACACTGCCCATTTTCAGTGATTGGAAATGGAGGCGACATAGTTTGTGCAAGGCGTGAGAAAGTCCGCCAGCATGGCAGCATGCTGCCAGGAAATTTTTTTAATCTCACAGGAACTTTTTAGGGAAAAGCAAGATATCAAGAATGAAGCTCGAGAAATTTCAAAAATCAGTATTAAAGTAACAAACATCACAATTAGAGCATAAATACAACAATCATAACATAAAAATTTGTATCATGTGGCAGTGCTACAACTGTCTGTCATCATGATTATGATACATGTGAAAAACAAGGGTGTACTACTATTATTGAACAGTGCATGAATACTGAATATATAAATTCAGATTTACAGTCTGAAAACAGAATTCAAATATTGTTTCATAGAATTCCTTCATGTTCCTAATTCTAGTAAACCTATATTTTTCTTAATATTGAGGTAGTATATGACTTATTAAGGTGGTATATACAATGCTGTTATTGAATTGCAACCAAAATTCGTATTTATAAAACAATTGGCAGGAAATTTTAGGTCTGGGAAGCCCGCTGCCAGGAAGAAAAATATTTTATCAAGGCTTGATTTTGTGTATCCAATGCACACTACATAGAGTGTTATTTTGAAGGGTTAACCGCTATATATTGACATATACTAATTACATGCTATTTGAACGCCAGGGTTGGGCAAAATCAATGAGTAAAAACATTACAAAAGCATACTTAAATATACAAAAAACAGCAAATCATTAAACAATTTATTATGCGAATAACTATATATAATAAACTAAACACTGTTACAGAACACCGTGTGCATTCCATTTCATATCGTTCCAGAACCGTGTTCCAAATGTTCTAGAACAGTAAATGGAGCAGCCTGCCGAGCGCCATGTGTGAGGGTAAAATTTTTTGGTACAATTGCAGAATACCCTGCCACATGTCATCAGACAATGGCCACTGGGGTATTTAGGTAGGAGGTATAAATTAAGGGGACAACTTGTCGACCCGTTCTCCCTCTGCTCTATATATGGCTATGTTATACTGCCTCAGATCTAGCTTTGGCCCACAAAAAACAAACTTTGAATCAAGTACATGCACTACAAACATTCGCAGTGCGTGTTTTATCAAACCTAATGATACTCGACTTCACCTCGTATCTTTATATCTGATAAAACACTGCTGCCCATGTTTTAAATAGTACATGGACATCACACACAATAATATATATCTAAGACTATAGCCTTGACATCATAAACAACTACTTATTCTAATTGGTATTTACTATTTACTGGAATATTTACATTATATATACAGTGTGCAACTAAGTTACAGGGCGAGTTAATCAGTTATTAATTTTTAACTATTATTATTTTAGTTATTATTACAATTAAATTTATTAGTTATTATTAACCCATTGAGTCGTATTGCACCCTGATGCACCCTACTTTAGTATTTTACCCTGTCTAACGCCAGAGTATTTTACTCTGTCTAACGCCAGACGATTTTACTCGTCAAGGGGAGAGCGCTGGCACTTAATGGGTTAATTAGTTATTATTAGTTAATTAGGTTTTGAATCGATAGTTTCAGCTAGTTTTAAAAATGCCATATTTAAAGGGATATAGCAATAAAAATTAATTTTGTCATATTTGAAAGAACTTTTAAAGTTATATATGAAGACCCTTTACAACTTTTTCGTACCTTGCTTGGTTTTTGAAATATTTTGACCAAAAATAGTGTGCAGTCCGCTATCTTGGTATTATAATTGACCTAATTAACTGAGTTTTTGATGATGTCAAAAGCACGGTAAACTTGTTAAAACTTCTTCATGTGGGACTAAGTTTCTTTGAAAAGTTTCTTAAAATGTTGCGAGTTAATTGAGTACTAAAGAGACTTCGGAAAATCAAGTTTCATATTGATAATGACATGTGCTTTGCCTACTTGTGACGTATGCATATCGAATTTATATCCAAGATGGCGAAATGCACGCTGTTTTTGATCAAAATAAGTCGATTTATTTCGAAAACCAAGCAAGATACGGAATAATTGTAAAAGAAGTTTATATATCATTTTAAATGTTCTTTCAAATAAGACAAACTTAATTTATAATGCCATATTTAAATAGGCATTTCTAAATTGAGAAAGTGTTGATGCATTACGTATGTCTATACGTCTAAGGAGTTCCAATCACTAGCAGCGAGAAAAGAAAAAGAGCGTTTACCAGAATTGGTGCTTACTCTAGGCAGTACTAGATTATTGTTAGTTGATCCTCGTGTGTTTTGACAATGTACATTTTTGAAAGGGGTTAATAAGTTCTTCATATAACCAGGACACAAGTTACTTAATAATTTAAAAACAAGAAGGCAATGGAAATATTTGATGTGTTCACCCATAGGTAACCAACCAAGCGAGAAACAACGGTAATGAATGTGCTTTCCTGTCAGTATCAAGGATTAACCGTGCTGATACAGATCAATTTCGGTGTCGTTCAAATGTAAAGGCAAGTCATTCATACTGTACACACGTAAAAATGCACAAGTTGTTACAAGTCTGCAAACAAGTTGTTACAAATTTGTTCACAAGCTGTCGCCAAGTTGTGTTCACACTGTTTGTTTTCAGTTGTTGTAACAAGTTTGGAACACGCTGTTAACAACTTGTAGCAATCTTGATGGCATTATCAGACTTGTAGCAAAGTTGTTCTAACAAGTCTGATACAATCATGATATAACAAGAATGTTACAAGGTTGACGATACAAGGTTGTAACAATATTGTTGAAGACACGTTATTGCCCACAGATACTTGAAATCACTAACTTTTGGATCTCTTATGGTTCCAGTCACAGGAAATTGCCTATATTAACCTGTATTTATTTGTAATAGTTCTATTCTAAAACTGCCCATGCTAAATAGTAAACATGCTAAAGCCTTTCCATAAGCCAATTTTGTAGGATTATCAGGTCTGTTATGGCTTTTTACATGCGATTATTAATTGATGCATTTAGACAATATCTTTAATCATGCTATATTAAAGCAAGGGCTGATTATATGGAGAGTTCTCAGCCTGGAGCTGAAATTGTTTCACGATTACATGAGTTCAAATTTCAGCTCAACTCCAAATAGAGCTATTTTGCTTCTGTGAATTAAACGCCGCTCACTAAATAAGCGCCGCTCTTGAGTAAGGCCGCACCTTTGCCGAAATAGTTTATTAAGCCTCGCTTCAAATTGGCATCGTATTCTTTGATTTTATGTAGTAAATTGGCGCAGTATATCTAGTATGTGCTTCTTTTATTCGCTATATATTGCCACATCTTTAACTGGAAGAATGTAAATAAGTGCTGAGGCGCTTAATCTATTATTTACAGTATGTCTATTTGACTTGTGCAAAACTGTGATTGCATTAGAAATAGTACAGACAAAAATAAAGCTACTCATAAAAGGATTGTTTTTTCAACCAGGGCTGAGAAATTTCCAGTCGATTACATGACGATGTTCAGCCTGGGCTAAAACTCATCCTGGACTAAAATTTTTGTGATGTAATCGCTTGCTGTGTTTTAATAGGATTTTATCTTTAGGCCAGCCTGAAATGTCAGAAGTTTGCAAGTTCATAAGTTCACAAACTGGTTTGTAAACTAAGTATTTGATTGGCTTCTTTCAATTCATGGACCAATCAGAGGTCTTGTATATATAAACAACCCCTTAAAACTTTCCATGATATATGGGCATGCCACTTTCATATAGCTCTAAATTTCGTGTCGCGGTTTTCAGGTGTAGGTGTACCGGCGGTGGTAAATCATATGACAGATTCGTAAAATACGACAAATACCGAGTTTTTCCGACGAGCATTTTCATGTGATGTGAATCAATTATGCACGCTTTCGAAAATATTGATTTTTCGCCGAAGATTTAGCGCCTTAGAAAAATAGATCGAGGTAGGTAAAGCTTTGCTGTTTTTAATTTACCTTATATTTGTTGTTATTTGTTGTTGTTTTGAAGTGTTGTGCTCGCACTGATTATTTATCGATTATCAGGCGTTTATGTACTATTTATAACTGAATAAACGAACAGAAGTGCTTTATCAGAACGAGAGCGCAGCTCCGGTGTTTTATACCTGAGAAAATCAAAGCTAAAGTTTATGTAAATGAACATGATTTTTTATCACATATAAAACCACCAACACAGCAGTGATTTCCTTTGATGACAATTATTAATGAGTTTTTAAAATTTATATATCGTGAAAGGCCACGCTATCAAAATACTCATTTTTTATATGCTCAAATTGAAACGAAGCCATGCATTGTGCTTGCGCTGATTATATTGTGTGCAAAACGTCAAAACTACAGTACATTCTGCAAATAACATGAAATTGAAATATATTAAAAATATCAAACAAAATTCTCATTAATAGTAATACTATTGAAATTTAATACAACGAAATAGCATATTCTACTCGAGATCATAGTTTGATAATTATTTTCAATTCAACATTTCCACGTGTTTTTATACCTTCAAAAAGCCACAATAAAGCTAAATTTGTTTAAATTTGTAGGAAGTAACATTGTTTACTTGAAATAGTCAATAAGTAATAAAACCTTGACCAGTTGATCTTGTTATTACCGTCCCTTGCAACTACAGATGAACAGTCGCTCATAAAGAACATTGCCAATTCGTGTGAGAATCTTAAGTTTTCTTATTTTGACATAATAGCTATTTTTCAATAAATATATTGATATTAAACTTATTGAATCAATATTTTAAGTTTCAGGCCAGTTGTATCAAATATTATAAGCGCTTCCGCACCATAAAGGCAGATTTCCATTCAGTGCAAAATGTTGCACGATCGACATTTTGCGATCACTTTCTTTTGAAATACAAGCAATCACACGCAACGGATCAGGTTGACTGAACGCATTTCAAAAGAAAGTGATCGCAAACAGTTGATCTCGCGATATTTTGCACTGAATGGAAATCCGCGGCCTTAAGTTTCTGAGGCATGCAACATGTACGCATGCGTACCTATTTTTATTATTTTAAACAAATTATAAAAATGAACTAATTTATTCAAAGTGCATTAATTTTATAACAGATGTATGGGGCTGTGATAAGAGTCTATTTTACTATATGGTGACGGATGTTTCTCTCGTGAGATAGTCAATGTTCAGCAGCTCAGTTAATCCTCGCAATTTTGGTAGAAATAGGCAAAGAGATAGGGGGGGGGACAGATTTTTGAGGTAGGACCCTTTTCAATGGGTTCATAATCCCCGAGCCGGCGGCGCGAAGCGCCGTGCGAGGGTACTAATTCTGCACGGCTAATTATACCGTGGTATGTGAAAACATAGCGGAGTGCAAAGTTGTCCTCCATTTTGTTTATGTCATGGACGGTTTTCGACGTTATTCGACGTTATTTATTTCGACGTTATTTATTACGTTTCGAGTGCAAGCTCTGTCGAAGTAATTGTTTTTCATTTTGTTTTACATTTTGTTAAAAAGTTTACAAAAGTACAACACGTTTTTGTTTCTCGGTTTTAAATGGAAATAAGCCCGCAATTTCATGAATTAGTGGCTGTTCAACCGTGAAACAAAGTTTGTATAATAATTGTTTTGATGTTGATATCTTTGTCCCTTTGATAATTTAATCGTTGTTGTGCCGATTTGGGTAAGTGTAAACATTTCAGTAGTAAAATTCCATGCCGTACTTGCTTTGTGTTGTCGATTTTATTCATATCTGCAGAATTTTTAAGCCATTCTTAACTCGATAATTCACTTTAATGCAAGCTGGTATGCATGAAATGCAGTGAATGTTATCGTTCATTATAAAGCTAGCGCATCAGTTGTGTTGTTATGTTTGTTTATATGTAATGGTCTTAATACTATATGTGGAGTTTTTATACTTCATCTGTTAAGTCTTAAGAAAGGCGAGGGGTTGCTGCATGCATGTATTTTCTAGTTTGTAATTTTCGCCTGATGAAGCGAACATGTAATGATTTTTTTAAATATCTCAATATTTCCGAATATCAAAAAGGGCACCTTTGCCCTGTTGGGAAAGGCAATGCCTGCCCCCCTCTCGGCGGCACTGGATGGGCGTGCCAATTAATTACATAATGATCATGCTTCCCCCCATTCTGGCATCACTGCTATAGTGCTATTATAACTTCCAGGTTTTTGATCATCTAAATGTGGTGCATGAGGGAGCCTTACTGCCCACTCTCCTAGTAATTTTTGACTACTTTTTTAAAAAGTAGCTGTCAGTCCTTTTTAAGGAATTTACCGGGGGGGGGAGAAAAAAATTTTCAAGACAGCAAAAATGTCGGACGTCACGTTTTGAAAAATTTGTTGAATTTGACATTGCTATTATCAACAAACCGTCGAAAAGCGGAAAATTATCGTGAAAACGTCGTGAAAAAATTTCCTTCGGAAATAACTTTTACTTTCACACGATGGCTTTGGTTAAATTTGCTCGCAGCTCACATCAGATTATAGGTCCACTAGCAGCTCGCAACTGATCAATCCAGATCACTCGCTACGCGTAGGAATTTGATACAAGTTTTCCAACATGGGAAGTAAACAATTAAACATGTTCTGCTTTTATTTTTCTAAGAATGGACAACCAATAGACATCCAATAAAGATCTTTCAATTTTATGTGACTAAAATCTAAAATAACTAAAATTTTTGGGTGATGCATTATCTGTCTGAAGGCCAATTTACACTACACAACTTTTTCCCAAAGCCTGGTTTCCATATGGTCGTAACGGTCGTAAAGATTGAGTCACCTTTTTTTTCAACAGCCGAATGTATAATTTCAATGTGGTTTATAGGTAAAAACTATTACCCTTTTCAAATCGAGCGGAGGACTAGGTCTAGTCGCTTGTTTGGAGGGACAAAAAATAAACAATATGCCGATTTAAAAAGGATCTTTTAATATATATTTAGCTCGCTCACTATAACTTGTTGTCCCTCGAAACGTCCCTCCAAACATCAAGTAGACCCAGTCCTCTGCTCGAGTGGGAAATGGCTAATTATAATCTGGCTGATGAGAAAGATCGTAACTTTATCTTATATGATCGTTACAACCATATATGGAAACCTGGCTTAAAACTGTTGCATGCAACGTGCTTACAACTTGAGTTGTACTGTGTAATTGGCTGCATGATCAGATTAAGACATATCAAATGCCCTTAAAGCGCTGATGCACTATGCAACTTGTCTTGCAACTTGTGTCGCAATTGCAAGGTTAACATACATTACAAAAAATTGCAACGTGTAACATACAAGTCTCGCAACATTTTTGTTGCAGGAAACGTTGCGAAAAGTAGAACCTGATTCTACTTCGTGCAACACTTGCTGCAACAAAATTGCGAGACAAGTTGCAAGACAAGTTGCATAGTAGCCCGGGTACCCAAGCCGGCCTGGTTTGGGTAAAATCTTGCTTTTGTTATTATGTCCTACTAAATTTCATTTGAAGTTTATATGGGAACCGAGCTGGCTAGCCTAAGCGAGATCCCGCCTCGACTGACCCGAGATCTAGGGTGCCCAGGCTGGGGAATTTTCCATACAAACGCGATGACCCGGGCTGTCTCGGCCGCTCCTAGTGTCTAATAAAATAAAAGGGGCCAATTAACGATAGGCAACTTGCACTAAGAGGTCACGTAACCTTGAATATACAGAGTGATGTTTTAAGCAAAAATTCGTATTTTTTGTTTTAAAAACTTCAAAAAATATATCTTACACGTTTAGGGTAGGGCGCTTAGTAGAGGGGGAACGCTTTATAGAGGGTCATTTGATGGAGGTTATATTTCATTTTACGTAGTGCTAAATCTTCTTCTAACTTTATTTTGTCAAGATAAGGACGAGGCTATACGTCGTCTGGAAGCTCTCGAGAAAGGTAAAGCAGAAAATAATCGAATTCCGATTATGCTGATCGGGCAAGGCCGAGGCGGAAAGTCTTCGCTGATGAGACGTCTTTTAGGATTACCAATTCCTCCGCCATGCCCATGCCCGTGGCATTATAACGACAAACGAACAACAGGATAAAAGAAAGGGAATAAATAAGAATTCACACAGCTGCATTAAGCATCCTACGAGGAGAAAGACGACGTCTCTATTGGTTCTTCTTTATATATGCTATGCTCAATATTTGCTGATATAATTATATATAAGTCCAGCATTATTAAATTTTACCGTTGTCGTGCTGAGGACACTCGACCATATTTTAAAATTATGGTTGATACCTTTTCCCGATGGTTCAATACATTTCTTGATTTTAAATTATGCGTGTCCGGCATTGATGTTTTTCGTAAAAATCGATCAACATTCGAAAAATGTTTACGTTTTAGCTTCTTTATGAGTGATTTTCTTCTAGCAAAAGGAAAGCCTTTCCAGGGCGTGCAGGAGTAATTTTCGAAATCTATTTGTTGAATAAAATGGTGTCGGTGCATATTTTTGGAGGTTTGATGGAAAAGTAGTTTAATCTGTGCACACTGGGCCTGTATATGTGGCTTGTACAAAACAACCTGATGATGTCATCTACCCAAAATTTAGTTCAGGCTAATAAAAAAATAAAAGGAGCCAATTAACAACAGGCGACTTGCACTAAGAGGTCCCGTGACTTTAATCCTTTTGAAATAGTAGTTATGGAACTACAAATCTACAATGAACATACAGAGTGATGGTTTAAGCAAAATTCTTACACGTTTAGGGCAGGGCGCTTGGTAGAGGCGGGGAACGCTTTATAGAGGGCTATTTGGTGGAGAGTATATTTCACTTTATAGAAGCCCTAGCTATATATAGCTGAAAGCCATTTTTACAGTAATTTTGAATATTGAATATTAAATATTGATATGAATATTGATTGATATTCATATCAATTTTTTTCTAGACTAAATACATATTTAACGTTGTGTTAGGGTTTGATTGGCTTTGGTTAAATTTGCTGGCAGCTCTCATCAGATTATAGGTCCACTCGCAGCTCGCAACTGGTCAATCCAGATCACTCGCAGCTACGCCTAGGAATTTGATACAAGTTTTCCATCCTGGGAAGTAAACAATTAAGCATGTTGCGCAATGAGACTTTAGCTGTTGTTTTTTCCTTTGTTTCTGCTTTTATCCTGCTAAGAATGGACAATCGGTAGACGTCCAATGAAGGTCTTTCAATTTTATGTGAATGGAAAGTCAAGTGTATAACTAAAATTGTTGCATGTTGCATCATGTGTCGAAGACCAATTTACACTACACAACTTTTGCCCAAAGCCTGGTTTCCTTAGGGTCGTAACGGTCGTAAAGATTAATCCTCATAAAATAATAGGTAATAATTCAAATTTTTTGTTTTAAAAACTTCAAAAAATATTCTTACACGTTTAGGGCAGGGCGTTTGGTAGAGGGGGGAACGCTTTATAGAGGGTCATTTGATGAATGTTATATTTCATTTTACGTATAGTACTGAATTTTGTGTTAACTTTATTTTGTCAAGAGCTTCTTGAAGAGCAAAGACGTAGAAAGGAAGCTCGCTTAAAAGGTAAAGCAAAAATAATCTAATTCCGATTATGCTGATCGGGCAAGGCTGAGGCGGAAAGACTTCGCTGATGAGATGTCTTTTAGGATTACCAATCCCTCCGCCATGTCCGTGGCAATATAACGACAAACGAACAACAGGATAAATGAAAGGGAATAAATAAGAATTCACACGACTGCATTAAACATCCTACGAGGAGAAAGACGGTGTCTCTATTGGTTCTTCTTGATATATTTTAGACCCAATATTAGCTGATATATAGAGGATATATTACACGGCGGCGCGAAGATATGACTTTTATCTTAGAGTGGTGAAAACAATGTTTTACGAACGAGCGCAGAGAGTGAGTAAAATATTGTTTTTAACACGAGAAGATAACAGTCATATCTTCAAGCCATGGTGTAATGTTCTGTTTATTATATAGTCCCAAGCAAAAAAAATTGAAATTTCACGCTCAAAAGCAAATTGGAAAAAATCACGTGATCGATATCTTCACTAGTGAAGAAATGGAAAATATCTCACTGTGCATTTTTCAGTATCTCACTTTCTACTATATAATAAAATTATATATAAGTCCGACATTAAATTCTACCGTCATAATTCGACTTGACGTAGACATGGCTTGTACGTGGTCATTAACTCGTGACTGTCCTTGCCATAGGACTTAATACCACAATTCAAACACTCATTAATAATTCGTAAGCTTCTTGGCAAATCTTATCAACCATAATATGTCACGTGCAGTGGCTTTAAACCTGATAAAACATTCCTAATTAGTATTCTTTATATATAAAGAATACTAATAAGGCAGTATCTATTGTTGTCGTGTCCTCATTAGTATTTTTTATATAAAGAATACTAATAAGGCGGTATATATCTACTGAACTTGTATAGTCGTGTTTTATTAGGTTTAAAGCCACTGGCGCCGCGCGCTCGTGTCATTAAAGCTAATAGAACACTCCTGCTCGTTTATTAGTGTGAAGTTTCTTCGAAACTTCACAATATTGTGATGACTGGGAGGAAATTCAAACTTATCAGTCAGTCAGTCAGTCAGTCAGTCAGTCAGTCAGTCATTCAGTCAGTCATACAGTAAACTTTCCGGGGGGTGTATACGATTTATGTTCGTAGTGATTTATTGTGCTTTGTCAGTACTTTGAAGGTTATTTAAGCAATTTCAGTTAACTTATTTACATATTCTGTTAT